ATAATGATGAAGGTAATCTTGGTCTTACAACTATTGGAACACTTGTTTCAAAGTTAAGTATTGTTATGTTAAGTATATCTTAGGCAGTTATTTCAATAAGTAGGTATGCCCAACTAAATTATTTTGGAAAATTCGAGCGGCAAAGATATGAGATTGAAAAATGGAAAATTGTATTAATTTATGAGAGAACTTTCAAATCCATAATAAGCTTTAAGCATAAGCTTTCAATGGAATTTGATTCACGTTTGTATAATGATGGAGTTGTTTGCTTAGTAAAGGACGGAAATATGACACAGTCTCAGATCATAGAAAGAGGATAGATATGAAGTCGCGCGTAACTACAACGAGAACCAGTGTCCCCACATTTCCCCCACCACAGCTCCCACACACACATTCAACTGTGTAAAAACAAAGCGACTGAGAGTCTACGACAACATGTGCAACCGGCTTAAAAGTGCTGTGATTGGCCAAAAGGCGTGCCATATGGCCAATCAATGGCAGAGTGACGTGACGAACACTTTGAAAAAAGCAATTAGAGAGAAAAAAGATAAATGGAGTCGATAAGATATCGATACTTTAAATCCTGGGGGCAAGGCTCGAAATTGGTTTAAAAAATGCTTGTATGAAAACCTTTTTATTATTATACGTTATTATTATGTTCTTTAACGATTTTTGCATAAAGGAGTCAGTTCCATTTTGTATGGACGAAAAACTCAGAATCAATTATTGGGACTAAATGAAGTTACCTTATATTAATTTACCCCAACCAAAGCTCAATGTCGTTATCGATGGAGTATAGAAGTTATAGACTGACAAAGTTTGTATGAAAAGTCATGGGTTAAGTAGGTACTTGCGATTTTTACCAGTATTTACAATATTGGTAATATATTATTATTTACTTTAATAATAATAACAGGATCACTGTAATTATTATTAACTACTATCGCGCATTAACTTTTTAATTATGGCGAAATTCGTACCGCCTATGTTTATCAAAAATAATGCCTATATTAGGCTTTCAACTAGCTCTTATAGTAATTACATAGTTGACAGTTACTAATCCCTTCTACTATTGTTATTGTTTTTGTAAAAACTTAAAAATCGCAAGCAACTCATGATTTTTTCATTCAAAATTAGAAAATAGAAAATAATAATTTACTTCTATTTATCGATAATAGGAAACCGTATTAGAACACGAGCCCTGCACTATGTTACGACCGGCACATGCGGCCGTACTGTGTATTTTCACGCGTCAGTGGATATCGGAAGAAATAAAATACATTGCGCAGTAGTTACGCATGACATAAAGTGGTTGCTAACTAAATCGTCAATGTACAACGTGTTTGAATTTTTATCACCACTAATTTCGATATCGCAGTAAATGTCACGGCACTGAATTCGTTCGTAAAAATGTTTAGTTTTTTTTATTTATAAGCAAAATACCAATGGATTTGCAATACTTACATGTGGTAAATCACTTCATTGTTCCTGTAGTTCTTCGTTTCACTTATGTTATTGCACGTTACGACGCATTATCCAACAATATCGGAGAACATTTCCTCAGTACGACTGAATCGCGACTAACCTGGCGTCGCGGGTGATGTTTGTTTCTGGGCATATCGCGGAGACACGCGCCACGCCCCCGTTTCACATCTATTCCCTTCTATGATCTGAGATAGTAAACATGAAGTATTGTCGACTGGGGTCTGTGACTCACTCACCGCAGACAGTCAAACAGACAGACAAACGTTTCAATGTACATTTTTGTATATGGAAATATGCAGTATGTGCGTAGTTACGATTTGTGATTCGCTTGCTAATTTCAACAAAGGGTTTGTATCGTTTGTACTACAGATAATAAAGCTTGTTGGAGCTTTGCCCGTGGCTTCGTCCGAGTTAATTTTTGTATGTCACAGATAAATTTAATTATGAACTTTAAAATGAACTTTAATGTAAATATGAAATTAGGTAAATACTCGTATATTTATTATGGAGCACGTAGGCAGTGGACTCATTTCAAAAACTGAGAAAAACACTACTTTTACCCCTATATTTTTCTCTGGGTCTTAAACTTACTCTATACCAAATTTAATTAAATCTGTTCAGTGATCCATCGCAAAAAGGTAAAAGCTAAAATCCAAACGGACAGACAAAATTAACTTCGCATTTTATTAGTAGTACGGATTAACGGTGTAAACGTTTTGCACAGTCAGCATAAAAAATATCTGTACAGAGAAATTGCTTATAACTTGTCATGATGACAAATAGGCATTTGAATTTTTTGGGTTTTATAAGAAATACTGTGGAGAGACTTTTGAGCACTTTCACTGTATGTAAATTGGCCTTTTCTTTTCACTGCTCTCTATAATTTGTGAAAATAATATTCAGCAGTTTTAGTCATCCCCTTACTGTTTAGATATTTTCTATTGTTCTTCTGTTATTAATGGGTTCCGGATGGTGTGATGAAGGCTATGAACTTACTATTAGAATAGTGGTAAAAACTATAAAAAGTTTAGTTTAGTCATAAATCGTAGAATCTAATATTCAATATACCTACCTAGCTATTTATTTTCTTTTTTGTTTAACTCTACATTTTATATATCGGTTAATTCAATTTAAACGTCACTTTTTTAATCGTCTTGCATAAATAAATGAATACATGACTAATTGTCATATCAACTAATCAACAGTAAAATATGATGTTCAGTAATTAATTGTGTGCGAGTTAATTTAGATTTGCGTCTTAATTAAAAATAATTATCAATTTACGTAGCTGGAACTTGAAAATGTCAAAAATATCATCACTTATTAGGAAATTTAAAGAAAACTGTTATTGTATGAACAGTTTTGTTGTTGATGCACTTTTCTGTAAAGAAAAGTTATTAGGCCTACCTCTCCATTTCACATGCTTTCTTTGTACCTTAATAAACGAGACACTAATGTAATTACAATCATTCAAACATCAATGCCACTGCATTTTATGTTATATTTTTATGTAACATTTAATAACTAGCTTTGTCCGTAGATTAGGTACGTGACATTCGCCATCGATTCGAATTTGACTACGAAATACAACTAAATTGTAACGCTTTTGGACAATAGACCAATCAATGAACACTAATTAATACCGTAAAAAACACACAAATATTTGCGTTTTTAACTCTTTAGCAATAATGTTTAATTTCAATTTTTTACAACATTACCGATTCCGCTTCACTACGCTATACGACAATTAAAACATCAAACATCTTACGTTACTTGTAATTCGATGCGTATTAGCAAGTTTATTGTCGACTGTACAATTTGGTTTCCTATTTATAAATTATAACGTCCAATTAACAAATAGAAAGCATCAGATCCATTACGAAAGAAGAAGAGCAAACAATATTCAGTGGTTGACTCCACATTTTCCGCATAATTTTCTTTGCTCCAGTTAAACTATTACCAGTTTTCTTGAGAATGCGCGCGCGCTTGTATTTGTCAACTGCGGTAGCTCAACTAATGAGTTAATTAGATCTCCGTGGTCTAGTGGTTTGTGGTGACTCTATCAGTCTAGAGTTCTATTCCCATGTGGGGCACACAAGTTCCTTTTTGTAGTTTTTCTTTGTGTGTAATTGTATCCTAGCTTAATTAGTACTTTTAGGCTTCATGAATTTGATTAACGAAAAAGATAATTAATTTTGTGCTTTTCAGGAATCTTTGTCGGTAAATATACACAAACAATTAACAATCCTTTACAATAAGTGTTATCAGATAAAAATTGAATACGAAACATGGATTAATTATGCACGTTTATGATTTTATAACAATGACCTAGTTTTATTTATAATGTAATATTACTAATTTAGATTAGAAATAATTAGAACCGGGTCTAGATTACGATCAGTATTTCTTATCAGTAGTTCCGATGTCAAGTGATAACGTGTACCAGTGTACTACAAGTTATTGATAACATCGCAATTAATTACCCATGCTCTTCTACAGGCTGTTCAAAAACTGTAAGGATTTTATAATTTAAATGACAAAACACTAATTAACTAATTACCTAGGTCTAAATTTTCATTAAAAATATATTAGTTATTGAAAAGTTTCAAAATTTTTGGTTTTATAATACTTCAGTATTCTATAGACTCTATCTCAACAAGTGGGCCTCAGAATGAACATGGACAAGACAAAAATCATGTCTAANGACGATATCGTAGTCATGGCTGAGACCTTGGAGGATCTAGGCACAATGCTCGATGGCCTCAGTAGAGCCTCTCAACAAGTGGGCCTCAGAATGAACATGGACAAGACAAAAATCATGTCTAATGTCCGTGTTGCACCCACTCCTCTGAAGGTTGGAGACTCTACACTCGAAGTTGTCGACAATTATGTATACCTGGGACAAACAGTCCAGTTAGGTAGGTCCAACTTCGAGAAAGAGGTCAATCGTCGAATCCAACTCGGATGGGCAGCGTTCGGGAAGCTTCGCCATATACTCATGTCCGAAATACCGCAGTGTCTCAAGACGAAAGTCTTCGAGCAGTGTGTGTTGCCAGTGTTGACATATGGATCCGAAACGTGGTCGCTTACTATGGGCCTCATAAGAAGGCTCAAGGTCACCCAAAGGGCGATGGAGCGGGCTATGCTCGGAGTTTCCCTGCGTGATCGAATCAGAAATGAGGAGATCCGTAGGAGAACCAAAGTAACCGACATAGCTCGCAGAATTGCTAAAATCAAGTGGCAGTGGGCGGGGCACATAGCTCGTAGAGACGATGGCCGTTGGGGCAGGAAAGTTCTCGAGTGGCGACCACGGGCTGGAAAACGTAGCGTGGGCAGGCCTCCTACTAGGTGGACCGACGATCTGGTAAAGGTCGCGGGAAGAGCCTGGATGCGGGCAGCGCAGGACCGTTCATTGTGGAAAACCTTGGGGGAGGCCTTTGTCCAGCAGTGGACGTCATTTGGCTGAAACGAAACGAAAATTCTATAGAACTTAAAATAAAACAGTGTTTACTTACAATGTATCCAAAATCACTATCACAAAATATAGTTCATGTAAATCGCCGGCACCATTTGCCGCGCGGATGGTAAACTTCACAGTGTTGCCAACTTAACTCATTTTAAACAAAAACTTTTTTCACAGGCGCGCGAAAAAATATTATTTTCCCAATCGTTGTTGCGGTTGTCGTCGGCCGTCGCGGTCCGCGCCGCACTAATCGAAAAATGGATTTTTCTGCCCTTTCTCTGTCGATTTGTTTACTTTCTCTCAAAATCGGGCAAGCCGCGAACTGTGCCTCATCGGCTTCGACGCGGAGTACTTGCATCCAATGCTCTATGATGGTTTTCCGAAATAACTAGTGTCTCCAGCTGACTGTTCTGATGAGCTGTTCTCATTACCACTTGGGTTTCTTTTATTAAAAACACGCAAAACTTTCAGGACAAACTGTTTTTCGACAATATGAAAATTATAGTATTTTATTTAATTTTAAACGCCGGATTTTTTTGAAATTTTTGATGTGCATCTGCACCCTCTACTACCAAAAGTTATCGTTGTAAAACGTATTACGTGCCTTTTTATGGTTTGAAGATGTTTGAAGTGAATGTTAGTTATACTGGTTATAGTATCTCTCTAGATAACCTGAAAATTGGTACGTCGCGGAAAATTTTGCACATCCTGTATGAAATGTCTTATCTACCTCTGTTAGGAAGACTAACTACACTCGCGAGCAAAAGTATGGAATCACCATACTTGTTCCGAGCGATCGTAAGAACTAAATGACTAATAGAAGATAATTAAAAATGGTACCATTTTAAAGGTAATGTTTTACACTTTAAATTGATAATATAAATACATACATAATCATTCAGTTCTTAAGATGGCTCGGAACTAAACACAACGGCGTGATTCCATACTTTTGCTCGTAAGTATTTATCAAAAAAGTATAATTGCGCACGCGTCCTAGAAACACATGAACAGTGTGGTGATCTCTTTTAGTAGAGTTTTATTTAATTAAAATATACAATCCGACGTTTCTGTAATCTATATAAATAAAAATGTCTATACAGGGTGTTAGGTAAATGGGTATATGAGCCGACACTAGCCCATGTTAACATGGTCATATAAATGATATTATAGTGAAGTCAGAAAATTGATATCTTCATTTTAATTATTTTAATTTTCATACAAATCGGATTTTATAAAATTTATTTTGTATGAAAATTAATTTATTTAATTAAAAAAAATTAAAATGATGATATTACATTTCTGACTTCACCATACCATTTATATGACCATGTTAACATGAGCTAGTGTCGGCTCATATACCCATTTACCTAACACCCTGTATAAATAAAAATGAATTGATGTTCGTTAGTCTGATTAAAACTCGAGAACGGCTGGGCCGATTGAGCTGATTTTGGTGTTAAAATGTTTGTCGTAGTCCAGGGTAGGTCTAAACGGTGAGCAAATAAGGAAAGATTTGCTTATTTATATTGCTTTTAAGGCGGAACAGAGTTCGCCGGGTCAGCTAGTGTATAATAGTTATAGATATCATAAACTTTGTTTACACTTGCCACCGTTGGTTGCCATAAATTGGGAGAGCGGAACTCTCCGGTGGCACCGTGAAAATGCATTATCTAGTAGTTATTCAGTTATGCAGAATCTATAAATGAATTTGTGAAAGTAAGTAGGCCCTTTATTAGATAAGTACGTTACGTAGGTGTTAGATATTATGTGAACGACTTTTAATTGAAAAAAAAAAGTAAAGTAGAGAGTGGATGTCTGGATGGATGTACCTACGTTTGTTACTCTTTCACGCAAAAACTACTGAACGGATTTTGATGAAACTTTACAGTATTACCTTTTATAACCCAGAATAACATAAAGGCTATTATGACGATATGAGACAAACTAAATATCACGCGGGTGAAGCCGCGGGCAAAAGCTAGTATTCCTATAAAATATTTCTAAATGTGTGTGTATGTAAAGTAACTAATTTGTGTGGCTCTCTATGATAGGAGGTTAGTAGCAAGAAGAAAATAAATTGTGTTTTAGAGAGGGATTAAGAACATAAAACGCAAGAAATATGAAATAACTCTTTTATTATCATAGGGGTTCCTTGCCATAATTTTAGGTAAATAAGTTAAATAATAAAATCACAACTTAATGAATACTTAAAATTAACTCGCACGCCGTCAAATTTAAAATTTGAAATTTTGAATTTTGATACAAAGACTCGCTACGAGAAAACTCTCCCAAATTAAAATCAAAAATTGACGTCGTAGGCAATTCACTTATTACTATGGCAGGTAAAATGGACTCAAAAATTATTTAAAAAAATATTTATATATGTATCTACCAACGTGGAACAGAAAATGAGGTGTTAGGTAAAAATAAAATTGCAGTTTATAAAGAAGAGCAGTCAAATGTTGCAAGAAGTCTAACGCTATTTTAAATCAAATCAATTATATTATTTAAAACCGTTTTTTATTAATTAAATAAAGGAACGCATAGGTATATTCGTTAAACTTCCTGCGGGATAAACATACTGACGTGACAATTGTATACGTAGACATTTATAATGTTAGTTTCAATTTATTTATAAGTTATCTATTATTTTATAATCGTCTATATACATGTTCCAATCGAATCGTAAACCTAGTAATTAAGCGTGATAAATGATTTCCAATTATCAACTTTTACCTAAAGATACATCACAGATAGAGGCATAAAAAATTAACATCTAGGAAGGTGTAATTAGCAATTGGTAAAGGTTTGCTATGGCGTCTATGTTTAAGAAAACTAAGGACTATTGAATTAAAACATAAATTTGTTTTAGCCTACACGAGTGCACGGAGAAAGAAAAAGTGCGAAGCGAAGAAAGCGAAATATGTAAAACAAATAATTATAATCTAAGGAAAGAAGACATGAATTAGAGAAACAATCAAGTTTGCCCCCTTGAGAAGCTAATAAAGTCCATTCAAAAAACTGGCAAGCACTTACACATTAAATTGATAAATCTTATGAATTATAAGTTCTGATAACACCACTGACATTTGTTTAAAAAATTACTCCGGCGTTTGACTAGATGCTTCTTATTTTAACTATTTTCATCGACTCGGAATACTCGTTTAAATATCTGTTAACAGATTTTACGCAAACAGACCATCGCATTGAGACTTAGTCATCGAAACAAATAAATATATAAATAAAATACTTTAAATACAAAAATAGAACTCTAAAACAGTCCGAGTTACTATGAATCAAGATTTACACTGAGGGATAGGTACCTACGCTATTTCAAAATGGAGAGTTTTGTTTTGCCAAAAATATGAAAAATAAATAATGTACTTTACTTTTTTTCGTCAGCATTGATTTTGGCGTCATTTTTCTTATTTGGTTCGTCATTTCGACTTTCAGGATTGTTGTTATCATTTTCCTTTTCATCTTTCTTGTTAGTGTTTGTATTGTTTTGACCATCGGTATTTTCTTGTGATTTTGTTTTGGAGTCCCATTTGTTTTGAAATTCATCATTAAGCATTTTCTCAAAATCAGCAGACACTTTATTTACGTTCTTCTTCATTGTAGAATCAGGGTAGCTCTGAAAATTAACGTCACCTTAAAGTATTAAATCCATATAATAACGCAGTAATAGAAATAAGAACAGTGCAAAAAGAAAACTACCTTTAGGTACAGACGAACATTGTTGAAAATTCGCCTGAAATCTTGAACCACCTGCTCGTATTCTGTATAGGATGAATTCTTCAGCTTAGTCGCAATATCGTGAAGGCACATCGGATATTTGACTACTTCATAAAATCTTGGAGCCTGAAAAAAAGTTTCTTATATTTGCCGAACATAATAAGCTATTTTTTCCACATAAAAACATTAGGTATATTTACCATTTTGATATCCATATCATGCTGAATGAAAGCGGATTCACTAATTTGGGACAAGTTATCAATGATCGTCTCAAATTTCTTGACAGTGGCAGCCGGTAACGGCTTTTTCTTTTTAGGATGATACCACATTCCTGATATTGCTACCTTAGATTTCCCACTAGATTTCTTTTGATTTTCATCTCGCACATAATTTCCTGTTTGATCAAAACTTGGGCAACGAGCAGTTTCTTTTGATGCTTCCGTTTTGGCATTGGGTCCTACGTCAATTGGGTCTTCTTGAATCTCCGGTTGCTTCGTATCAGAATCAAGCAACTTAACAATATCGTCTGCAAAAATGGATTGATCGCGATTTTTGGGTAAAGTGTAATCATTTTTATTCAACACTTGTGGGCCCCAGAGATTGGCCATTTCCTTTGACATATAATGATTGGAAGGTAGTGCAGAGGGCCAAACATCCGCTTGGTCCATGCGTAGTTTTACTTGCTTCAAATCATCAGGAAATTCATCATCTGCTGTCAAGCCCAACGCGTCGTATAGCCTAGCGGCATCTGATTTATTGGAACCTTCATGGATGAAATCCATTAATTTTGGGGCAGATTGCTTGGCCGCTTCCCAAGCACGATCAGATGTCATAGATGTGAGTATCTCCAGAGGATCGGCAGTTCTCATGTCTAAACAGGGCATACCATGTCTTGGCATCAGTTTGTGCTCTTCACCGAAGACGTCATCCACCCGGCGAGACATCAAACATGGCCAGGACTCAATGTTGTATTTAGGTTGAGGAGCCAATGTCACTTGAGGAAATGGTACCTTCATTTTTATCGGGCCTATTTCATCTACCACAGGACTCTCAAAAACCACATCTGGAGACGCGCCTTGTACAAATGCAGATATTGGATCTGCAGGTTTTATTGGAACTTTGTAACTTCCAGGTTTCATGTAAACTTTAGACATTTCGTGAAACTCATCATTTTCGGGATCAATGAATTGCACGGGGCCAGAGATATTATTAGAAATCGTCACAACATTCGATGGAATCTGAATATTGTGAGTGTGATGAGTTATATAATCGTTAGGTTCTTTTTGGACCATCTGACCCCACGCCGCAAAAAAATCATTCTCTTCCTTCGTGTCACCGCAGCTGTTGTTTTTCTGTATGTAGCATCCTCTCATTTCGGCTGCTGTGGCCATGCTCGGAAGGAGGGTTTTTTCTACGTGACTCAAGGGTATCATCTTAGCCTTCAGCTCCATCTCTCTGCGCTGTAACAAGTCACAAGGCATGTTTCCTAAGAGTGGCTGACCTGGAGCTTTTCCGAGTTCCGCATCCATTTTGTGCTTGAGTTGGTTATAAAGCTCTCGTTGTTCAGAATGACACATGCCTTCGAGAGTCCGAAAATCGGGCAAGTTTGTAATAGTCCAAGACTGACGAGGCTTAGCTTCACGAAGACTGCAAGGGTCACACTTGTATTGAACTTTTTGGAAGCCTTCCAAATCACTTTGATCATTGAGCGGATAAAAGTTATGAGAGTTCGGAGGCGGTACTACAGGAAACTTTTTGTACGTGACACTTGATCTGGGTGGCCATGGCCCGTCACTGTAGTTCTGAGAAGTGGACTGACTTTGGGTTTGAGCCCATGGGGGCTGGACGGCGTTGAAGGGCTGCGGCGAAGCGTTGACTGGCCGCGGAGTGCTAGCGTGTGGCTTAGACTGCTGAAATTTACTTTGATTTTGATGTCGCGGAGCAGCCGAATTTGATGCATAGTAGTTATGAGAAAAGCTCTTCTGCTCCATTGTAAAACCGTGGTCGAGGCACTTAAATGTTTTATAAATATGAGTCAGCATTTCTTTAGTTACGGCTTGCCATTGTACGAAACATTCCCTGATGTTAGGACTGTAATATTTATTTTCGATTCTAGAAAATGTTTCATGTTTCTCACTGAGTAGCTCCTTTACTCCTTTCCATCCATCTAAAATTCTCACAAATGAGAATATAAAGTTTTTGATAACCCATGGAATGCCTTGGGAATGAAGGTTGGCGACCGCGCTGTCTGGTTTCTGCACATTAGATCTAGTCTTGGCACAGATGGAATGTATGTTCTTGAAGCATGGTCTGTTATGGTGGGCAATCGCAATGTTCTCAGCATCAGTGCAAGCTTCGATCGCCAACTGAACAATTTGATTTGGAATTTGATCGTGTATAACAATTTTGTCCAACGCAGTTAACAAAACATCCGACGATCCTGAAGGCTTGCTTTTATCTTCTTCTTGATTAGATGACTTTTGATTTTGCTTTTGGTTACTGGAGTCAGTCCTGGAGCTCGTATCGGGAATATTGCAGAGTTCTGAGACCATACGTTCACCTTCGACGTAAAAATCGAGACTCGAAGTGGATTCTGAAGTGAGGTTTCGATCTGATTTTCTTTGACGGTCCGTTTCTACGCTAGTTTCTTTGTACCTCTCGTGATATCTCGGATCGGCACTGTAGGCGTTGCGTTTATCCTGACTTTTGACGATCTTCTTTTTAGCTCCGGTTCCGATTGGTTCCTGGTTGGATATAGACCAGGAGCTCTGTGATCGCCTGTCCGAGTGCACGCTGCGGTCGCCCGACATTCCAGGCCCGCCGTAGTTGGGCGACGACGGGTCAAAGACTAGCCCCACCAGAGGAGAGTTGGGCGGCGAACTGAAGGTAGGAGCAGATTGATTGTTATATCTGAAATAAACAAGCCTAACTTAGTAAGCAAAACTTAAACAAGCAAATTGATTGATGGAATTTTATACCTTGAATTCTGATACTGTTGACTGGATGCAGTGGCTTCGTAGATGCCAGTTGCGACCCGGCAGTATGTTGCCATGTTTTGATCGGTAAGGTCTTTACTGGAGCACCCTGTTTCAATGAAGAATGGTTTAAAATGAAAGTTTACAAAAATAAATAAAATCTTTCTTAAACTGAAATTCAGCAGAGGAAAGTCAGAAAAAGGAGACAGAAAAAGCTTTGATAACCATGTCTTTGGTACACTTACCATAGTTCTTGGACTGAATCACGGCGTACTGGTGCGAGCCCTGGTAGCCCTCCTGGTGGGGCGCACTCCTCTCTCTATATCCCTCGCGGTATTCGGCCGTCTTGCTCGATCCCCCGCCTCCATATTCTTGCATTTGGCTCGTGGTCGTCTACAATCACGAAATATGCAATTAAGTAGTTAGTATAGACTATATTAGTTTGAATACTTTTTACAGATTTTGATATTAAGATAAATATGATTTTTAATCCCTTACAACCCTTTTTTCTGAACCAAAATTCATGCAAGTCGGCAAGTCTTCAGAAATAGCTAAGCTAAAGCTAATTCAAAGTAAAAGCAAGGTAGAGTCTTAGAACTTTTCAAAAAATCTTTTTTAATTATAGGACAATCAATAAGTTCATAAAGTATAGCTTAGAATATTGTGCTCGTTAAGCTTTTCGCAAAAGCTTAAAATTAAAATATTTTTGCATAATTTTCGTTGATAAATCAAAAAGAAGTTTATTTTTGTCAGAAAATGAAATAGAAAAGTACTTTGCAAGAGTTTTGGTTTAGTTTTTCATTGTACGAGAGACATAATTGACATTAGTTTGTACAAGATCTAGTTGGTGCCCACGGTAGCTTTTCTTTTTCCCAAATAAAAACGTTCAATTTCCCTTGAAATTCCTAGGAATAGACTAGCGTGGATCTACTTTGAAGCATCTACTTTGCGTTTTACTTCTTCTAAATGCTCTACTATGAAACAACTATATGACAAAAGTACTACATATAAAAGAATCCTCAGAATTCTTACCTTTGATGTGGTATCGTATCCCTGCTAAGGTTGATTGTCCAGATTTCAGAACATAATAAAAAAATCAGGCACCTAGTAATGCTTGTCAAAAGAATCTTGTGACTTTTAATCAAATAATTATTTTTATTCTTACGAAGTAACGGTAATGATTTCACTCGATTTGGAAGATCTGGGGGCACTACTATCTACCTTATTCTCTAACTATTTTTTCCTATGTAAGTAGAAAGTTATTTTCATGTTCACTTTCTTCGATGTGCAATGGACAATGTGTGAGCTGCCAAATAATTGAAACCAACCATATGATTTGGTTCAATTGTTTCTGTCATTCCATTTTTGCTTTTCTGGAGGTTGATAAAGTTGCCTTTCCATTTTCATTTAGACTCCTTGCTGTTTCATTTACCCCTAAGCCTTATTTACATGATTGCAAATCCTCGTACCTATACTCCCTGGTCGTCTATAATATTTATTTTAATTATTGAATTATTCGTAATGAGGCACGAAAATAATCATTCCATCAGTTATGTCATGAATTTTTCATGTTATCAATGTTAAAACCACAATTTTGTCATCAATTCAAAGGTATTGGTGTTCGTGTGAGACTCCTATTGAGGTTCTTACCTTTTACGCCTCGTATGTATTTTGTTTTATCAAATTATTTCCAAATTAATTCCAAATATATTTGAAATAAATGACTCTACATTATAATTCAATATTATGTCCCACAAAGGCATTAACTGTACACATTAGAATCGAGCTAATAGTGAAGGTAGTATATTGAAATTTTAGGTATCTACTGTATGAGTAGCCTAGGCCTCTCAAAATAATCGAAATCTTCTTTTGAGGTAAGACCTTTGTAAGAAAGAAAGGGCTGGAAACAATAACATGGAAGACGTAGCGTGGGAAGGGCTCCTACTAGGTGGACCGACGATCTGGTTTACCAGGTCGACCTTTAGGTCGCGGGAGGAGGCTGGATGCGGGCAGCGCAGGACCGTTCATTGTGGAAAACCATGGGGAAGGCTTTGTCCAGCAGTGGACGTCATTTGGCTGAAACGAACGAAGAAAGAAAAAGGCGATGACTAATAAAATTACGCACAAATGCAGTATTGGTATTTGACAAAGAAAATCGAAAGTGATTCATTTCCTTATTATATTTTCAGGAAAAGTCTGTCACCGGTACAATAATAAATCATTTCTTACATCGACGTGTGTCAGTGGATTCTTATTAAATTAAATTAGATAACTAACAAAATGTATCAGTCACACTTAATGAATGTCGTACGAACTTTTTGTGGGCCTGTAGGAAATTGTTGGGTAAAAAAACAACAACCTTATTTTTCCATTAATCTTTCTTCCTTTTCAAAATACTTTACCTACAATTAATTACAATTTAAATCGTAAAAATGCGAACTAAAAACCGTGGAAATTATTATAAACAAGATTTTTCACTAATAAATCTAACTCAGGTGGTTATAACTGCATTATCAATGAAACTGGTGTACATCGTGAAACAATGTCGCCTAGCTCAGTACTCAAAACGGTCGCCCAGCAAGCGAAGGGTCGTTCAAATCCCACCGGAGGCAGTCAATTTTTTAAGTGAACAATCATATTTGAAGCTTCAACCACACGCCACGCCATCGCCGGCGCGGTCATAGGCCAACGACAGGTCGCGCGACCCATGACAGTCCGCGCGACCTGTCATTGGCCTATGATCGCGCCGTGATCGCGCCGGCGATTGCAATCTGCACGGGTTGGTGTGGTTGAAGCTATGCACAAATCTCAATAGTCATGACAATATTGCTATAGCTATTGCATTAATTTATAAATTAAACCAGGTCAGTCACTCATAAAATCTTGGCTAGAAGAGGTAGAGTCGCTGTGATCAGAAGAGCGAGGGTGACGCTGTTTTCTTGGGAGCCGTTGCAGAAGTCTTTGGTGCAGGAACACACTTCCTGCCTGCCGCCGTAGCCTGACCGGTGATAGCAGGCGCCCTGGAAGACGAAAAAAAAAATTATTATTAAGTGATAAACCAATGAGGGCTATCGTTTTTATACTTAACAGTTGGCACCCCTGGCGATTTGAATTTGAATTGAAGAATTGAATACTCTTTGCAACTACACTAGCCATCTGTTCCAGGTAGAGAGCTTTTGAATAAAGATACTATTTGTATCGTTCATTTGTTTTGTGTTGTTCGTAAAGTTGTATCGTTCGTTTCAGCCAAATGACGTCCACTGCTGGACAAAGGCTTCCCCCACTGTTGTATACCTTAATAAAATAAAATATCCAAATGCATATGCATATCCAATTAATGTAAGTTATTAATGATCATGTTCGATTTTCAAGTCATTCAGCAGCACAGTGCCGAGAAAATCGCATAAAAGTAACGCCTGGGAACAGACTTTCGTAGTGATGAGTACCCAGCTTTAGTCTAGCAATGAATGATTTGAGCATAGAGGCTCTATGTAGGTACTCTGTCAGATACTCGGAGGTTGGTATGGGCCAAACAAATGTCTATGATTTTGCCTCTATGGATGAAACTCATATTTTAGATGAAACGCGACCTCTTGTATGATATTTTTCTTTATGTAGGTTTTATTAGCATTTTGTGCTCTACTGTTCACTATCCGTAGGAAAAAGCTATCCTGTATTTTCTCCAATCGAGAGCAACGGGCATCTAAAAGGTCTGTTAGGAAATCCGGTCAATAGAAACACATTCTTATTTCTTTCTCTTCGGTGACTACTCGTAGACCATTGAGGTTTCTACCTAGTTGGAGGTGAGTTTATCATGACTGAGACTGGAATCTGGTGTGTACTGGTGTTAGTTCCCAGCGTTACTCCCTACCTTGTACTTGGTCTCGTCCCAGCCGCAGCTGCGTATGACCCTGGATCCCGGCAGCTGCCGTTGATGCTGAACTCTATTATTATCTTTCTGCACAGCGTATGCGTCATAGAAGTGTCTAGAATAAACCTGCTAAAATCAAGCAGTTAAGATCATGAAGACTGGGTGCATCTAGGCACAGCCCTATGGATAAGCGCACTTAGTACGGTGTCAGTATGGGCGCAGCGTTCCGCACAACTTGTAAAGGATCGAGAGAGTCTTACTCTCTAACTACTAAATAGGGCCTATAATCCTCTACTCACTACCTTGTACTTGGTCTCGTCCCAGCCGCAGCTGCGTATGACCCTGGATGCTGGGCAGCTGCCCGTTGATCCCGAATTCTACGTGCTGCACTATCTTCCTGCACAGCGTGTGCGTCACAAAAGCGACTAATAAACCTGCTCTTAGTACGGTGTCAGTATGGGCGCAGCGTTCCTCACTATTTTATATTTAGGATCGGGACAATTCCCACCTCTCTTTCCCAACGCTGCAACTCCTGTGTAGCCAGGTTCTACAGCTTGACCGTCAATAAAAACCCAACCAGTGATGATCAAGTTTGTCCCGGGGGAAAATTAAACTTTTCATTGGATCCGCAACGAACGTAATCAAAAGAACATAGGATTGTATAGGAGATATATAGAGAGTATTGCTCTCTCTATCTATAATTACAAGTTAGACCATTGGGGCATCTTCTACTCACTACCTTGTACTTGGTCTCGTCCCAGCCGCAGCTGCGTATGACCCTGGATGCCGGCAGCTGCCCGTTGATGCCAAACTCTACGTGCTGCACTATCTCTCCTGCACAGCGTGTGCGTCACAAAATCAACTAATAAACCTGCTGTCATATTAAGTAATTGAGACAATCAAGACTAGTTCAGCTGTTCTGTTGGATCTGGTGTGTACTGGTGTCAGTTTAGCGCAGCGCGACTCACTACCTTGTATTGCTCTTGTCTTGCTCTCTAACTTTATAGACTATGGGGGCGTCTACAACCATCTACTCACTACCTTGTACTTGGTCTCGTCCCAGCCGCAGCTGCGAATGACCCTGGATGCAGGCAGCTGCCCGTTGATGCCAAACTCTACGTGCTGCACTATCTTCCTGCACAGCGTATGAGTCACTCCTCGGTCGTGCTCCGAGCAGTTCCTCTTCAGGCTGTCCGGCAGGACGGCGTCCGCGCAGTACGAGTTGGTCGCGCTGTTGCACTCGTAGCACATTATTGATGAGCCTGGAAATTTTGGGTTGAGGGATTTGAGAACTGCTGGTGTAATTGCTATGATTAAATTCTGGCGGCAAGCTTTTTGACACTTAGACCTCACAGGTAAAGGGATCTAACATGTCAGAAAAATACAAAATACTACATTAAATAATATAGTAAAGTCCCTTGTGCAGCTTCTTTTTGACTCAAATCGAGCACAGAAATCGGTCGAGTACAGCTGAAATAATTTAAGCCGGATCGTGACTAAGTAGGTAGTCAGCAGGCGTAATCAGATTAATTAATTAAGATCAAATTAGGGTATTTAGATAGGAAGACCTTTCTTCAGCTAAAATCCCAACCCCCAATTGGCTTATGTCATTAAATTATAGAGTCAAAATTCAAGGTCTTGGCCCATTTCCTTCAGTAAAAAATGAGAACGTTGAATTTAATATAGATACGTACATATTGTAAATGTTTACATCTCCATCATCTCTATCCAAATACACCAGTCAATAAAACGGACTATAAATAATTTCACATAGATCAGATCCGGCAGAGAAATATTTTTTCTCGGAACACAAAATTGATTTACAATTTGCGGTTAGTACTTGCAAAGTTATTTCCTCCTATTTACTTTCACTAATAAATATGAATACTGTGCGTAGTAGCTCTGAAATCTTTAGTAACATCGTAAAAATTTTTTTAAATCTATTACAAAAATAAAATTCAACTCTCACACCCATTACCTAGCCCCAAACTAAGCGGAGAATGTATGGCACATCTATCTACAGGGTGGAAACGATAAGTGATCTCATTCGATTATTTCTAAACTATACAAGATATTGAAAAACTGGTTACTAATCCTGATAGTGCTTCACAAGCTCTATCCAACGGTATCAATATTAGATTGCAGAATTAACTGGATCTATCCGAAAATTTAATGCTGATACCCTGTATACAGGGTATCAGCGTCTAAATTTTTAGTAGCGACTCGGAATTGGTTCACGTGAGTGAAAATAAACAATAACCTTTAAAACTTAAAATACTATGGGCACCCGTGAATTTAGAATTTATTTTAATCGTGTTTTTTTTTGCGAAATACCACGATTAAAAGTAATTAACTTAAAGTTGTATTGTTTAATTGTTCTAAAGAGCTTAATAAAGTCACCCTGTATATTGTGGCACCTTATGTAGTGCTAATAAGTTCAATTTTGAAACAAAAATGTACAGCCTGAAGTGCTGGTGGCTCTACTGTAACTAGTGACTAACAATGTAACGAATATAACTGAATATAAAAATCTTTACTGTGAGTATCACATGACGTTAGTTAATAAAATAAAAGCTTGTTATATCAAATTACTTTAATGATAATGGTTCCATTATTAAATCAGTATCAAATTAAGCCTCAATCAATTAAAAAATCAAAATTATCTTACCGTATTTGATGATGGCGCAAAGAAAGATAATCGTAATCCCAAAATTGGTCATCCTGATTTATCTCCACAGGATTTGAGACCTCAGCCTACCGTCAAGTACTCACAGCTTCTGACCACACTTCGGCCATGTTCCAAAGGTACCTAGCACAATACTATTGTGGAGTATTTTGTCATGCGAGGTTAATAGAGGAAGCGCCTCATTGAATCGTGCAAGGATTAACGGATGGACACAATTTGAGGTTTAAACCAGTTCATTTAATTCCTTCTTTCAATTTCAACCAATTTGGAACCAATAACCAAAAGACAATTGTTATAGATATCAATGGTGATGGTGACAATAAAAAGCATGAATAAGAAAAACTTTTAATAAATACATTCGCAAAATACAAACACAACAAAAAAGGTTACGGCGTACTAAACAAATTCACAGCAATTATTACTGATATGGTAACTATTTGACATTCTTTGCATACATCCACACAAGGCAGTCACCGTTTACTAGATTAAGACCTACGACGCTTTACAATTAGTATTACTTTAGCTTGAACAACGGCTGAGGTGCCAGATTGTGAACATTAACATCTATTTACAACATGGCGCTAACTTAAGGTGCTGACCATCTTTATCTTACACATTAACAAGTAAATACTCGTTATTTCTAATACATTATTTATCATTATTCCCTTCGATATTCATAATTCAAATCATGACTGGTCTACAAATCTACGTGTAGGTACAAAGAGCTTCATTAACCCATTTAGCCCTACCGTACCCTATGTGGTACGGTATCTTTTCGAAAATATTTCGAAGTACCAAACTGTTGTTAATTTGTAAAAAGGATTGTGACAGTAAGCTTAAAGTGATTATTTTACATAAAAATATTTAAAAATATGTTTTAATAAGTGGTTTCGGAAATATTTATGAAATTCCTCGACAGAAAACAAAAAAAATATTTACAATGTATTTAAGAAGGTATAATTTCTTATTATTCATGGTAAATTATGTTATTTATCAATTTTATTTTAAAAATAGAGTACAATAGATATCATGACTACAAAAAAAATATTATTGAGATTATTTTTATACGGTTTATTCCAGTCTAAAATAGGTGTACCGTATAAGGTACAGTAGGTCTATGCATGAGCAAATCATGCGAAAAAATATAATATAATATTTATTATTTTTATTTGTTTTAGGCTATTGATGCTTCACTATATTACCACAACTCATGAAAAAATTGATAATTTCAGCAAACATAAGAAATCTTGGTATTTTTCTACTGCTGTCTTGTCAGATGACCGCTAATGATGATTAGATTGACGAAGATTTAGGCGATAAAGATAGTGTCAATGTAAATAATAACCCTCAGAGTTTTCTTCGATGGATTTGCTAAATTTCCATCGTCGTGTTGCTAAATGCGATTATGGATAGCACTAAACCTAACCAATCAGAAGAAGCCAGGTCTTCTTCAGCTATCCTCACTAACTTCGGAGAAGGTAGGAAAAAGAACCAAATGTGGTTAGTATCACAGAAAACGTCTTACAAGATATGCCAAGTGTGATACTAGTGATTATGTGATTTTATTTTTGTTTTATATCATACAAAAATAAATAAAAATCTTCTTTGAACAACGACTATGTTTTGCTTGCTTATAGACCTACTGTACCCTATATGGTACGGGCTCCCCACGGCCCCCTATTTATGGAATATTTTTTTAAATATTTTTTTCATGATTTTTAGGCTTCCCTTTATAAGTTTTTGCTAAAAAATCGATTTTTATTTACAAAAATAATTATCGGTCTAAATGGGTTAAAGCCTATCCAATTCACTAAGTTTTCCGAAGCTCACCAAGTACATGGGTTTGGTTGACTATGAGTGATGGGACCCTAGAACCTCAGTAATGCGAATGTGAGGAGCATGAGGACGGTCGCCCCGACTGGCATGGTGGCGGAGTTGCAGCCATCTTGTAAGCACGAGCACACCTCTTGTCTGCCACCGAATCCTGATCTCTGGTAGCAGCGACCCTGAGGAGTAATCAGAAGAGGATGTTAACGTCAGCAAATAGTTATGGCCTCATTACTTTACGTGGGTGACATTGGTATAAATTGTTGGAGATTTCCGCAAGTCTCGGCAAGTAAACCGTACAGGATCTAAGAACATAGAGTCATTCATAAATAACAGCTTTTCTTTAGTATTCGATGTATCTGCGAGACTTTTTTGCAAGGGTTAGTTAGTTCACAAGGGTTTCTAGCAGTGACTTTGACAAAAGACGAGAACTTCCTAATTGCCAACTTCCCCAACACTCTTTGTATCTACTTTCATTTTGTTCCCTTATAACTATTTTGTCAGCGGCATGTCTTTCATCTAACTAGAATCTGTGAAATCTTCGTTACACACATTGTGTCCAGTCTCCTTAGATCACAGGTGCTTCAAGGAAATGCTTCTTCTTTACAAAAGCTTTACGAATTACCATTTTCCTCAATTGACCTTGTAACTGCTCTCCTTCTTCTTTACAAAAGACCAGAGCTTTACGAATACCATTTTCTCAACTCACCTTGTAACTGGTCTCATCCCATCCGCAGCCCCTGATGACCCTGCTGTCTGGCGGCATGCCGTTCATCTCGAACTCCACCACTTGTGAGATCTTCCTGCACATGGTGTCCTTGGGTCCACACGGCAGCCGTAAGGAGTCGGGCAGCTTGTCCAGCAAGCACCGGGAGTCGTTGTGACTGTTGCACTGGTAACATGTGATCGCTAGACCTAGAGAAGAAGGACATTCAATTAGTTAAACTCATAAGCATTGGTAGTCATGTGATCTAAGTCTACCTAGGGAAAAAGGAAATCGAAAGAAAGTCATTATTTATGTTTTCTTTTTGACTTTCAAAATAGGAAACGTCGAGGCCATTAAGGCAGACTATGGCACGGTTTTGCAACTTCTTTAGAGAACATAGTAAGACTTCTCTGGTCCAGTGGTTTGAGAAATGAATTCTCTGGAATTCAAAGGTATTGAAGGTGGGAGTGAGAGGGATAGCAAAGACATTAGGGAATGACATCAATCAAACACTGTCGTCAGTTTTTAAAGTTGGTTTTCAGTAAGCTCAGATAATTTATTTCAATTTCAAAGTTGATTGTCTGTGTAAAAGGCTAGCTACCATTCGGGAAAAAAGCTGCTGACAATATAGCATTCGGTGTAGGTACATACATTCTGTTGTACATTTCATGCCTATTTAGTATCATTCAGAGCTGATCAATGGCTGATGGCGATGCAATAAAACACAATCAATAGATTGCAACTGAAGATTGGATGGGGCTTGGCTCTACCAAGTTATTACCATTCTAGTAGCATATTTATTTTCTGTAGAACTTTTGTAGTTAGTTTGCGTAAACGTATACCGTCCGATGTTAATAAGTAGTTACTTTGTTTCTTGTCAAGGTACCTCTGTCTTTTTTATGATGAGACATTCGCGATGGCTCTCCATAAATTTAGTCCATAAAATTTACCTAAATGACAACCTATAATAATGTATACGATAAAGCCGAAATGTAGTTGGAGGTTAGGAGCAGGTTTACGACGAATGCTGAAGTTATGACAGCATACACAATGGGGATGTTGCCTGGGTCAAAAAGCAAGAGTTTTAATTAGTCCGTCAGTTAACTTATCAAAAAATACTCTACACGTATTTTTCACTTTTTCAAACTAATGAAAATTTAAAGAGATAAAGCGCCCCAAAGTTCATAAGAAGAGGCCCGTGACGTCAACGCTTGCTTAAAAATGCCGCACGTTGTGACGTCGTGCGCAACTTCAACGCACCATAACTATGTAATTATTTGTTAGATTGACAAATAAAATTATACGTGTCCAATATTTTTTGATATTAAACATTACGGACTAAAAAAATTTTTTTAGGCAACTAGCCTATTAGTTATAGCTTTTCTTCGTGACTCTTGAAATGAATAGTAATGTTTCTCTACATTTTTAGCAAGAAAATCTTGATATTAGGTCACAAAACTACCAAATTTTATATCAATTTATTGATAATCGAGAATAAAATCAAAATCAAAATCAAAAATATTTATTCAGTTTAGATCACAAGTGGCACTTATGAACAATAGTGATAATAGTATCAAACTAATTTTTTCTCAAAGAATAATAAGCAGCTCTTGCTTATTGATAACCTAATTTAGATAGATACTTTATTTTATTTTTTCAAAGTTCATGTGAATGGACAAGATTAATGACTTATTTTAATTAACGAGATGTATACATTCAGTGCATCGCGAACAACATTACTTCTATTTCTAATGTAGCCATAAAAGTGTTAGGGAATGACGGGACATTATTAAAAAGCAAACATACACATATTATAGAATAGGTGTTAGAACTAGTTAATCAAATGTACAAATTGGTGCAGGTTATTTTGGAAACTGCGGTGTTTAGACAAGCCTTGATTAAAAAAGGTATTTTAGTTCCACTTGGCAATTTTGAATTCTATTATATTTAAAATAAGACATTTATTTCATGTGCTGTAGTAGGTATGTTTAAGTAAATTAGTTTCAGAATGTAACTAAACACCTTTACTTAGCAGCTAAAACCTATACCATAGTTCTTCATAGCTTACAAATAAGTTCCTAGTTAGTATGAAAAAGTGAACTTTTACTTTTCCATTCACATGATTTCGATTGAACTGTTTATTCTTCCCAAATAGATATCGAATCGTTATACAGGGTGTTATAAATATAATATGCATTCATCATGTCATTCATTGATATAGACGTGGAATACATTATTGCTTTTATATTAAAACACAGTCGCGCGAATTAGTGTAACACGATTTAGGTAAATGTTGTTGTGTCATATTGCTATGTTTTTCTAACAATCACACTTTTCCTTAACCCTGTATAAACGACTTCTGCAAATAGCAATAGATTCGCGAAGAACTCGCTGCAAAAGCCGAATCATTCTAGAAACCCTACACCACCACGCCCACAGCCGCAACACAAAAAAAATATCCACAAACCTTGGTGTAGCAAACTGCATATTACCGCCAAAAGGCAAATGACTGCGAAACCCATTTTGTCGATCTAGTTTACACCGCACCACACCACGCCGCCTCACTGACTACGCGATACTGAGTCCTGGCTAGGTATAAATCCACGCCCGTATCTATCCATAGCTGAACACTTATTCAATTGCCGTAATTC